TCAATATAAAATAAGTTTGAATAATTTTTTATGCAGTATATAACAAGAAAGTATGCAAATAAAAATGGGTAAAAAGCAAGTAGCAAAACATAAATCTGAATGAATTCTTATGCAGGTAGCCGTAGTAATAGTTCAGTAATATTCAATGCAAAAAATAAGGTAATGTATTTGAAGGGATTCTGTCCATGCTTATTGGAAAACAAATGCTTTAAATTAGTGCATGGTGAGCTACATAAAACCAAAGAATTCTAATGGAAACCTGTTTAGCAATATCATGGTTAAATTAGAAATACAAAAAATAGAAAAATAAAATAGAAAGTATCCCAAAGATTTTAATCTTTATTCTAAAAAACGTAGAAAATAATCACATTCAAAATTAAGTAAATTATCAGTCCCAAAGCCTGAAAATCTGACATCACAGGTAGACTCTGGATGACTCTCTCCACCAAAGGCATTTGCTATGTTAGGAACTGAGTCATCACCATCTTGAAATGAATTCTGAGTGTCTGAGGACATTACTAATTCCATGTTTAAAGAGATTGTACCTCTTGTTTTACAGCATTCTGTTAAGTTTTAATTCACCCACACAACTGTAAAGTAATAAAAGGGTGTCACTTCAAAATCTTAAGCCTACACCCACCTGTACCATTTGTCCTGCATAAATCTTTTAAGTGATATATTGATAGAGAAATAGAACTGACGGTTTGGCTTCTTGGAATTAGAGCTGGGGGACACGTCTATTGCTGGATTCTCCAGAGAGAGCTCTAATGGGGTTATAATAGGAGAAGTGAGAACAGGGTTTCTTTCATCAGCCTCACGTTGGTTATCCATAATATTATGCCCTTCTCATCCTACAACCTTTGGTTGTATTAACACACATGTTCTTAATTCTTCTGGTCATGACGCCCTCACAATTTTGCTATAGAGATTGTTTTGCTGCTCTTGTTTTCTCAAAGTCTTTATTTTCTTGGTGGTAGGCCAGGATAATGTCCCATGGTGATATTTCATGGCCTATAAAATTAAGCTTTTAATGTTATAGCAATGTCTCTGTTGCTTTTGACTCACTGGTTACAGCAGTAAGAAATTGAAAACTGAAAGTGAAGGGGGAGAATGCAAATTCTTCACCTGATTGTGTGAGTTATGCCTTGTTACTTATGGTAAGAAAACTATGGTGTCCACGGCTGTGAAATTTCTATCTACTTCGTGATATTTGCTGCCATTCTCTGCTGCCGGGAAGTATTACCTTCTGAGCTCTCTGGTTGCCCTGTAGTGTAAGTGCCTGACATTAAGCTTTCTGTAGTAGAAGTGCTTGACATTAAGTTTTCGATTGCTGAGGCATCCATTTCCAAAGACATCCATCCTGAGTAAACATATTGCCAGCTGTGTGACACGCTACTAGCAGAACAACCAGATAAGGATTTAGACTGCCCCTTCCCCCCATGAAGTTCCCTCTTTCAGAAAGCCCTGGGTAACCTAGATAACTGACCCTTTAAGTGGCCCCATTTCATCCTTATCACACCCTAATTCCCATTCTTATTCTTTAAATTAACCAATAATGAGTGAACCCACAAAACCCTAGACACTCCACCCTTGGATCCTAATAAAGGCAGAGGCCCAGGTTCATGCCTTTCCCCCATCCCCCCTCAAGCTCACTGTGTACCTATTGGGTTTGCTGGCTACCCTCCAGGACATTTGAGGAACAAATCTGGTTTCTCAAAGTCCCCTGATGGTTTTTGCTGAAGTGTGTCCTGCAATTATAATAAGCAGCATAAGGGCTAGTCCAGCAACACTAGCCCCCATAGGGGAAATATGTGTTAGGGCTCACTATGAGTAATAAGGGCCAGGTGAGTGTCTCAGGTACTCAGAGCTGATAAGATCACTATCATTAAATTAAGGTCAACACAACAGATTTGTTGTCATACTCCGCTGCTGGGAAGTAGTATCTTCACTTATATCTAGTTGCTCAAGTCAGTTAAATGCAATTAATCTTTTTCTTTTGTCTTTGTTAATACTACTTATTGCATCTTTTTTTTCTATTGTAATAATTTACATTTTTACAAAGTTACAGAAAAAGTCCCAAGTGCAGTACAAATAACTAGTTTCCTAAATTATGTGATGGTAAATTGGGAACAAGATGTTCCAATACCCTCAGAATACTTAAAGTATTTCCTACAACAGGGATATTCTCTTACACAACCATAATACAACCATCAAAATCCGGAAATTAACACTGGTACTTTACTACTGTCTAATCCTGGACTCCACTGCAGGTTCACCAGTGTCTAAATAATGTCCTTTATAGCAAAAGGGTCCGGTCAGAACCCTGTGTTGTATTTAGGTGTCATGACTTTTTAGTCTCCTTCAAAATGAAACTCTTTCCTTAATTCTTATAATTTTGAAGATTTCACACTATTTTTTAGAATATCCCCCAATTTGGGATTGTCTGCTGTTTCCTCATAATTCAATTCAGATCATGGAATTTTGGCTGAGTAACACAGAAGTGACACTGTCATACTATCATGTGGCACATAACTGACTTGTCCTATTACTGATGATATTCACTTTGACCAGCTGCCAGTCTTCTCGACAGTCAAGTTACTTATTTCTGCTCTGTAATTAATAAGCATGTTGTAGGGAGGTATTCTGAAACAATGTAGAGTCAATTCACATTATTCACAGTAGCTATGTTCTACAAAGTTGCCATGAACGCTGAGTTAGTGAATATTAAAACACTGCTCCTAGAGGGAATACAGTGCTAGGTTCCTGTGAGCCTCTGGTCACAACATTTTCATTAACTGATCAACATATAACCTTGTTTCACATGTGTTTAACAACACCTTATATGTATAATTATTGATTCAATATTGAACTCCCGGCCAACAGTGCTCTAACTCAAGGCTGAATGAAGCTTATCTAACACATGTATTTTCTCCAGAAGGCACATCATAGCTTTCTTGCACTTAGGAATACTACACAACATTTCAGTACTACCCTTAAGGGTCATTTTAAATAGTGAAACCACCAACAAACAGCAAAAAAATGCAAAAAAAATGGCATTAAACAGACTGTGAAAAAGACACACTATATATTTATTATTTATTATACATTTACAATTATTTCTGTATCTACCTATATGTTGAAAACCATGAGTTCACACCAGTATCTCCTATTCTAAAACACCACGGGGTACACTCTAATTTTCTTTTTCACACTTGTAATTTCCATTCCAGATAACACAAAACCTAGCTCCCATTATCCTTAATATTGTCTACTTTCCTAGATCAACCCTCTGCAAGTAACCAATCTTCCGTTGCTGTGCTCTCCTCTGCACCCACCCCAGAGATATGCTCCTCACCCTGCTCAGTTCTGACATCCTGTGCCAGACCAGTCCTCAGCGAAAATGCCCCCCCCCCTTTTTTAAGTATTTTCTTTATTTATTTGACAGAGAGGACAGAGAGCACAAGCAGGGGGAGCAGCAGAGGGAGAGGCAGACTCCCCGCTGAGCAGGGAGCCCGATGCGGGGCTTGATCCCAGGACCCTGGGACCATGACCTGAGCCAAAGGCAGACGCTTAACGACTGAGCCACCCAGACACCCCAAGAATGCCCTTTTTACCACATTTAGGCTGCCAGAGACCACGCCACACCACTGCCTCCTCCACAAGTGCAGCCTACATACATGCCCTGTGATTCCCTACCTCTGTGTGGATGGCTGCATCGTTGAACACCTCCTAATGTCTTTTGAACTGAATTTCAGAAGGGTTGAAAAAGAAGGGAAAGGACAATGCAAACAGTTCTGGCAGCCGAGTTTTACTCAGTATTTAAAAGAAAAAAAATAGAAATCATATGGGCAATTTAGATTCTTAAACTGGGCCAGTAATTTAAAAAATTTAAGAAATCAAATACGTTGTGGCAGAAGTATGGTGTGTAAATATCCTTCAACTTTTAAGCAAATCCATTATTTTATATTCTTGATAATTTTCTTCATTCTGCTTATTTTCAGTACTCACTGTTTTATATTATTAGGAACACAATTTTTGTGCTCAGTGGAGTAATAGTCACAGCAACTGATTGTACATGCATTTGCTAGTCACCTTTTCAAACCTTTTGTTTGTACTAGAATCTAGGGAGCTTTTGGCAAGGTGGTGGAAATGTGTCTTCCTGAACAGCAAATACAGGGATGGCTTTGTCAGGATTGTAGGTAGACAGCTAACTTTATGGTTCCTAAAATTTTTCTTCCATGTTATGTTTCTTGTAAAATAAATAAATAAATGTATGTATGTATGTATGTCATGAATGCAAATGAGATCTTAGGTTTTCTCTCCTCTAGGAAAAAAGCAGTTAAGATGATTTCTTTCATGCCCTCAGGAATAGGTTACTCTTTCTCCACACTTACATTAATACCTGTGAAGAATGATTATAGCTACTCTTTTTTTTCTTTAGAGGCTCTGCAACAGGGATAACAGACAAATGGCTACACTTCCTCCTTCCATACTCACTACTGTATCCAGATTGAAGCAGGCCTGTAAGAGGAAATTCTGGAACCAACATCATGCATATGTACCATCATAACTCCATTTCCTGGCACATGAATCAATGGAGAGATGAATACATGAATAAATAAGATACTGGCAAAGTGGATTGGACATGATTTCCATCTCTATGTATAGACAGCATTCCAAGTCTCATTTTTTTTTTTTTAAGATTTTATTTATTTATTTGAGAGAGAGAGAGCACATGAGAGGGGGGAGGGTCAGAGGGAGAAGCAGACTCCTGCCCAGCAGGGAGCCTGATGCGGGACTCGATCCAGGGACTCCAGGATCATGACCTGAGCCGAAGGCAGTCGCTTAACCAACTGAGCCACCCAGGCGCCCCCAGGTCTCATTTTTAATTAAAAAAAAAAAGATTCAAACCCCTCAATATTAACTCGGACTGTTCTCATTAGAAATTAAACAGACAGACTCATCACTGATTACTTCTGGCATAAAAGAGAACACACTACCTCTGCACTCGGTACACTCGAGTCCACGGAGGCACAAGAGCAAGGATCCGAGCCACCAATTCAATCAGGTCGCTAGGAGAGTAACTCTTATATCTTCCTGACTTCCACAGCTCATAAAGCCCAGTTCCACGAATCACCAGAGTAGGGTAGAGTTTCAAACCATCAGGACGAAAAGCAGGGTTCTCAAAAAATTCCTGTGAATGGAGAACAGAAAATTACCACTCCATTAGTTATGTAGAGATTGATGAAGTTTCCATGGTCAGGTTTCAGTCCTGGGCCAGCTTCTCTCACGTACCTACCAAGTCCTTAGACTGTCCTGATGGAACAAAACAGCAACTCATTGTTTTTACAGTCTCACTGGAGCAAAATGTGTGCGTGCTGGGTTACAAAGCCCTCGTTAATCCAGCCCCTGTCTACTGCTGCAATCTCATCTCCTCACCACCTGCCTCTCTGCCTTTGCAAAGGCAATTTCCTCTGTCTGGAAAGTACATCAATTTTACTTCATCTAGCTAATCTCCAGGTCTCGGCATGAATGCCAATTCTTCAGAGAGGCCTTCCTGACCTTCAAATACAAGTTGCCTCGCTTAAAAAAAAAAAAAAATTCATACTGAATTCTATATTACTGCTTTCTTAGTGTCATCACACTGATAATTTATTTGATGCCTGCCTTCACCTCTAGACTGTATCCTCCTTTCGTAACAGAATATGCTTAACTGTTTCAACTTTTAAAAAAGTTGTGACAGAGATCATCACTTGCCTGCAAAACTAAAATGTTTACTATACAGCCCTTAGCAGAAAGACTATGCCAATCCCTCTTCAGGCCAACTGGCACCATTCCTAACCTGGGATCCACACTATCTGTTATCTAGACACTGAGAAATACATCTAATTTATCTACTTTGACATAGTCATTTCCTGTACTATATCATCCCAGCTGGCTTTATTTGGCATAAAGCAAGGAGACACCAGGCATTATCCTTTCCATGACTTTGCACTGCTCATTTGCTCTTACTTTAGCACAGTGCGGGACAGAGGAATGAAGGTGGACTCAGTTTCCTCTCACCCCGCCCTGGCAGTAGTACCTACAGAGCCAGCTGTACTACATCGTGCTACAGTGCTTTTTATCTTGCGCTCCATTATTCTTGCAGAGCTTTCCAAAGCTTAACTTGCTTTTCAAAGAAATGTAACTACAGATTTTTCGATCTCTCTCATGGATTTCTGTCATATTCTTAAATGCTGTATTCTTTGTGCATCATTTGGTCTTAGGGATATTCTTCTGTAATTGCATATAATTTTCCCTGTAACATTTATATATTAACGATTCATTAGGCCCTTATAAGTATTCTATAGCCACCCCAAAGAACATGTATGCAGGTCCTTCTGTACCTAGTTTGAATCCATAATGGAATATGGGATTTCAGAAAAGTAGTTCAAGGGCTTATATGATAAATTTAGAAGATAGTTGGGCTGGTAAGAATGTTAGATGAAATTGGTTCTGGACTTCTGGTTAAACATGGAGAATTGAAACGTGTGCTTCCTTCTTTTTCCTCCAAAATCATAGTAATATGAGATGAACTTTTAAAAAAAGTATAAACCCAGAAGAACAAAAAGAACATCAGAGGAAATCAGTTGGGCATTAGAGGACAGGACCAGTGATGGTAATAAATTTTTGGAAGACAGAAAATGGATGAAGATTGGTAAATGACTTTGCAAGTAAATAAAACTGTAAACAAAGTATCTGCAAAAGTGGATACCCATGAAAGTCCAGCTCAGTCACACCAGAGTCCCAGAAAGGCTCATGGGTCAAAAGTACCATTAACCAGGCAGGATGGAAGAAATCACAGGATTTCTTCTGTCTGAACATGGAGGGATTTATCCCTTATTCCTTTGGCCTGCTTATAGGTAGTCACCTGCCCATTTGTTCCCTAGAGAAACTGCTGGATTCTGAGATTCCAGGTACAAAGGAAGGCCTAGGTGAGGATAAAGGCTGAAGGCAGAGAGATTAAGTGAAAGCCAGCACACTCACTGGTGGATTCCCTGCCTTGTTCCCTGGATACCAGCAGTCAATTTTCTGTGACCTACTCATACCAGCCACCCCCAAGCAGGAAGTTAGAGAGTTCATCTCTGGATTAATCAAATGGCCCTAAATAAGAGTTCAAGATACTGACATTTGAGAATCCCCTAAAGAAAAGGAGAGCTGGGGCACACCTGGCTGGCTCAGTTGGAGAGCATGTGACTCTTGATCTTTCGGTTGTGAGTTCGAGCCCTATGGTTGGGTGTAGATTACTGAAAAATAAAATCTTAAAAAATATAAATAAAATAAAACCTCAAAACAAGAAAAGGAGAAAAAAAAAAAAAACAAGAAAAGGAGAGCTTATTATATGAATATCCTTCAATGAGGTATACCAGCAGCTACCTACCTAGACCTTGCAATCTGTTCTTTCAGCCCCTTGCTTTTTTTTTTAATTTTAATTTTTTTTAAGGGGGGAGTGGGTGGAGCAGAGGGAGAGGGAGAGATAGCCTCTTAAGCAGGCTCCACGCCTAGCACAGAGCCTGACACAGGGCTTAACCTCACAACCTGAGATCATGACCTGAGACAAAATCAAGAGTTGGACGCTTAACTGACTAAGCTACCCAGGCCCCCTGTCCCTTGCTTTTAAAGTATGACCATTTGGCTAAGGATCACCAGAAACTTGGAAGAAGCCTAAAAAATAAAGGGCAGAACAAAACAAAAAGAAAAAAAAAAGGAACTTGGAGGAAAGATGCATTGCATAAAGGAAAATGAAACTTAAAAGAACCCTACAATTCCTTCAGAGAGAGAAGATCTATTACATCTATTAAACAAGAACAAGATGCTAAAGAAAATCAAACAACCCGAAGGTAAGAAAGAACTCTTGAAAATCAAAGCTATAACAAAAATAATAACATTTAACAGAAAAGTTGAAAGATAAACATGAAAATAGAAGGAGAAAAAAAGGACAAATAGGTAAAAAATATAAAAAATACCTGACGAACCTGGGAGATCCAACATTTGCTTAATAGGGGTTTTAGAAAGAGAACATAGAAAATGAAAGGGGAAAATTATCCAGTGGTACAAGAAAATTTCCCAGAAGGCAGATCCTTCAAAAATCTAGCACAATTAGTTAAAAACCTCTTGTCAAGAAACAGCACTGTGAAATTTCACAACATATGGGATAAAGACAATTTTCTAAAATATTTCAGAGTTAACAAAACACCCAGGTTACATAGATCATAGGATTAAAGAATAAGGAATAAAAACAAAATTGTGCTCTTAACAGCAATGCTAAAAGCTATAAGGCAATGGTGCAATGCCTTAAAAAAATGTTTTTACACAATTCTGTAAGTGTGAAGGTTGCATAGAGCCATTTTTTCGAGCACACCAAAGGCTTACTTTCTATGATGAATATTTCCTAAGGAAACTGGTGGAAAAGGTGTTTTAGTAAAGTCAAGGAATAAACAAATAAAAAGGGTTAACTTGGAAACCAGAAAACAAAGAATCCAATCCAGGAGATTGGTGAATAGAAGCCTCCAGGAGGACAGTTGTGAACCAGGCACAGAGAACTGCCAGTCCAGTTTGGAGTTGGAGGACAAGACATCCATGAGTCATGTCACTAGCCTAAAAAAGGAACTGAGAGAATATCTGATTAATTAGGCCACTGGCAGAGAGGCCTTAACATTGAGTGGGTGGGTACCCTTGAAAGTTTCAGGTGCATAGAGAACTAAGCAAATTAAAAAAAAGACAATTATTAATTCTAGAAAAAACTCAAAAGGTTATTCAAGAAAAGAATGTTAGTATATTACTTGGCTCTATGTCAGTATTAATTTATGTAAAAACTGTAATGTAAACATTGACTACTAATGTAGCTAAAATAGTGATGTAACAATATTGGGAGAATGGGAGCAGAGTTTAAAAGAATTAACTTTTCATCTACAATAAGACAAGAGAATCCATCCAAAATTATCAGGAAAAAGCAATCCAAGCATGGTAGTAAGAAATACAGAGGGGTAAATACCCAGAAAAAAACCCCAGCTACAACAGTTGAAAGTGCCAGAGGACTACTACTGTGTTTTGATATGATTGCTCTAGGATGTACTGAATTTTCAAGTAATATTTAATAGTGATTTTATTATTTAACAACTTTTATATTGTAAAGATAAAAAATCTGATAAACATCATTCTGGTGCAATGTGAGTGGAACATCAGAAGGGAAGAGGGCTGGTGGCTGGGTGATTTAGTTGAGAAGCTGTCTAACTGTGTAGGTGAGCTGATGAAAAGTATGAACTGAAGTTGTGGCAGCGGGGACCGAGAGGAGGGGAGCTCTGAAGGACAGGCAGAGGGAGTTACTGACAACCTCCTGTGGAGTTAGATTCAAGGTACAAAGGGACAGTCACAGAAGCAAAGATTTACTGAGCACTCTCTACGTGCCAGGCATGTTTCTAAGTGTGTTACATGCATTTTCTCAGCTAATCTTCATAATAGGGAGATACTATAATTAACCTCATTTTTGAGATGAGGGAACTGGGGAACAAAGCAGTCAAACAGTCTGTTACTAAGTACTGGGGGCCAGGATCCAAACTAGGCGGTTTGGCTCCAGAGTCCAAATATTCTCTACTTGCTCCTGAATGACTCCTGAATTTCTGGCTAGGGAGAATATGTGGATGAAGGGGCCACCAAGCATGACAGGAAAAAAAAGAGGAAGAGACGGCTGGAGGAAAGGATAAATATGTCCACACTGGACATACTAAGTTCTAACTACATGTAAGACATCTAGTGCTAGTTGCAGAGTATTAAGTAATTGGTCTGAAGAGCCTAAGGCTTCAGGCTGGAGAGAAAATGAGACTCACCCAAGTGTAAGTGGTCAAGTTAGAATAGAAGAAAGGCAAGCAGACAGAATAGAGCAACAGACAGAACCTACATTTCAGTGGTGGGAAGAAAAAGAAGACAGAGCAGAAAAGAAAGAGTCCTGGAGGCAAGAAGAGAGCCAGGAGACAGAAGAGTCACAAAAGCCAGGAGGGTGAGAATCCCAAAATGGAGACAGTCTTTAACAACAACAAATGCTAAGACTGAATCACATGACAGCAGAGAAGTACCCTTTGCATCTGGAGATTAGGAAGTATTTTACAACATGCGAGAGAAGAGTTTCAGTGAAGGGTGGGAACCAAACTGCAGGGGGTTTGAGGAATGAAGGGGAGGGAGAAGCAGAGACACTGGAGCATTTGTAACATGATCTGTCTGGGTGCACTCAAGGAAAAGGAAAGGAAGGTTGCTGTCTTTCATTGTAGGTTTTTCGGTACAATTTGACTTTTAAAATTATGCAAGTATTCCTTTGATTCAAATAAAAAATAACTAAAAGTAGAATGAGGTTTAAAGTTTTGTTAAGATCCAACTTGACTTGTATTTCAACATCATTCAGGTCATGCATAGTCATTCATAGTCAAACTTCCCTGCACCTAAAAAAGTTACCACAGAAAGGTGCCATGGAAAGAGTGCTTACCTAAGAGCTTGGGTTCTACATGAGACTCACCACTGATTTGACCAGTTACGTAATCTCATCAGGCCGGCTTCCTCAATTGAAGAGACTACAACAGGTGGTCTTTTCTTTTTTTAAAGATTTTATTTATTTATTTGACAGAGACAGCGAGAGAGGGAACACAAGCAGGGGGAGTGGGAGAGGGAGAAGCAGGCCTCCCCCCAAGGAGGGAGCCCGATGTGGGACTCGATCCCAGGACCCTGGGATCATGACCTGAGCCGAAGGCAGACGCTTAATGACTGAGCCACCCAGGCACCCTAGGTGGTCTTTTCTGATAGAATGCTACAGTGACTTGTTTCCTATGCCACTATCTTCAGTGACAAGCCTTTATATTAAAAACAAGTAACAACAAATACCGCTAGCCATCCCTGCCAAACAGTAACTCAATCACACTGGCTCAGTCGGGGAAAAAAAAGAACTTGTGTCAGATGTTAATGGACTTTGAAAGACTTCTGGTAACTGACAGGAGATTCTGAAGAGAAATAAATGTTCTTCAAGCATTTTCAGCAATCTTAGCTTGGATATTCAAGAGCAGTCTAATTTTTAAAGGAATAAAACACCAAAACACCTAAAAGTTACTTTGAGTAATAAATAAGTTCTATCTGAGGATAGCTGGAAAGGGTGAAGTTAATGCTTTCAGGATAAATTCCCGAATTTCCACCACAACAAGGACTTCCAGCTTCATAAGAAAAAAGGAAGCTTCATTTCTGAGTTCCCGGAAAATATAAGCAAATGCTATTTATCACACACAGTTACAAGCTCTGCACCTACCACTAGATAAGAGCGTGAATTTGTCATGAACAGATGCAAATAAACAGATACTAAGAGTAGTGACCCAGAGCTGACCTAAATAACAAGGTGTGAGGTCTAAGCCAATTTATAACTAGCACACTGTAGGCATACAACCCAAGATATAGCTGTGATAACTCAGCAGGCTAGGTAGTAGCTTTATGGATCCGTGCCAGGCAAGGCTATCCCGTCCTCTACAAATATAACATTTGGTACACTGCTGTAATTTTAAGACAGACTCCCGATTTAGCAACACTTCCTATGGAACAAAACACATTAATTAAGGAAAATATATCTGTGGGTTGCTAATGATGGGACAATAAAATAAAGTAGGGAAAAAAGTTTTTAAAGTATAAAACAAGGGGTGCCTGGGTGGCTCAGTTGGTTAAGCGTCTGCCTTCAGCTCAGGTCATGATCTCAGGGTCCTGGGATCAGGTCCTGCATGGGGTTCCCTGCTCAGTGGGGAGTCTGCTCCCTCTCCCTCTGCTAGTCCTACTAATTCAGGAAAGGTTATGAATTCCAAATAGGCCCAAACAAGATCTCCTAAACAAAAATTAGTTTTAAAAGTTTTTGTGTAAACTTTTATTGGAGTGTATCTTAGATACAGAAAAGTACACAAACTCTAAGTGTATATCTTGACAGATTTTTACACATCTTATAACCAGCACCCAGACACTCAAATTAAGAAAAAGAATATCAAAACCTTAGAAGTCCACCTCATGCCTGTTTCCAGTTACAATTCCACCCAAAGTTTTTGGACTTCATATTAACAGAATTGTATGTTGGGTAGTCTTTTGGATCGGGTTTCCTTTGTTCAATTTTATGTTGAAAAGAATCAGTCATGTTGTTGCATGAGGTTGTAATTAATTTATTATTTTTTATAGTATTTCATTGTATGACTACATCATAATTTATTTATGCATTCGGTTGTTAAATGGACACTTGTTGCCACTCTGATGATATTACCAATAGTAATTTGTGACCGCGACTTTTGGTAAATATGTGTAGGCATTTCTGTTGAGTATACATCTAGGAGTACAATTACTGGGTCATGGGGTATGCATATATTCACCCTTAGTAGATAATGTCATACATGATGTACCAATGTACTAGCAGTAAATGAAGAATTCTAGTTGCTCCATACTCTTAGCAACATCTGATTTAGTCTTTTTTTCATTTTAGCTATTCTTAGCTTTTCTGGTGAGTATATAGTAGGTATGCATCATAGTTTTAAATTTCATTTCTTTGAAGATTAATGACTTTGGAACTTTTAAATATGTTTATCGGCTGTTTGAATATCCTATTTATGAAGTGCTTGTTCAAACGTTTTTGCCATTCTCCTATTGGGCTGTCTGCTTTTTTCTTACTGATTTGTAGAAATTCTTTATTTTAAGGAAATTTAATTTTGCAGAGAATTTTCCTCTAGAGAGAAATGTTAGCTCTATTTTGTCACTCATTTATTTGCTGGGATGCAGTCAGAAAAGGCATACAGTCTGTTCATATTCCCTTTGAGTTTTTCTGAAAAGATTACAAACAAGAAGATATGTCTATTTACATGAAGAACTGTCTTTGCAATATTATCACTGAACTATTCTTTATTTTGAAGACACTAAGGAAAATGAATAGTAAGACTCAGCTATTATTTGAAACATGCCATATTTTTTTCTAAGGATACCTAAAGTTATGAATTCTGACTATATCTCTGGTCCACCTAGGAGCTGTGTTAAAGAAAAGTGTTTCAGGGGCCTTTTAGAATTGGAGTCTGGGTACCTGGCTATTAACTACTGAGGAGAGGCTATTAGTATTAGATTCAAAATCTTTACACAGCTAACACAGGGGAATTAGTTACAGGGACATTTATGAATTAGTACTATCTTATAAACTGGCCTTCGGTTGTTAATTCACTGGCTTAAAAATTATAAAGATAAACTTCTGACAAGGAAAGAAAGAATTATTAAATATGTCACAAATAAGGTGAAATCCATTTTTCTAAATAGAGTAAAATATTTTTGTGAATGAAATAACTTGATAAATACTTTCACTCTCTTCTCTAAATGAGTATCCCAAAGGCACTTTCTCTAGCTGAGAATCTGAAGGAGAAAAAACCAAAAAAAAAAGAGTTCTGATCAATCTCATTTCCCAAGACAACAGGAACACAGATTAAGCAAACATGTGACAGAGTAACAAGAAAAAAAAAAAAAAACCCAAAAAACAAAAAAGCAAAGAACAAAAACCAAAACCAACCAACCCAGAGTTAGGTATTAAAATTTAAAAAACAGAAAACCTAGGAAAAAACCCAAGTATTTTCTCTTACTGTTTAATGAAATCCTGGAAGAGAAAAGCAGCTCTAAGTTCAGAAGCATCTGAAGAAATCATAAATAAAGGATGGATTTGACAACAGATACAAAAGTGAAAGGCCCAAGACAAAGTGGGCAAAAATATTTGTAACAACTATTTTTAAAAAACCAATGAAGGGCACCGGTGTGGCTCAGTTGGTTAAGCGTCTACCTTCGGCTTAGGCCATGATCTTAGGGTCCTGGGCTCCCTGCTCAGTGAGGAGTCTGCTTCTTCATCTCCCTCTGCCCCTCCCCACTGCTCGTGTCCTCATGTGTGCTCTCTCTCAGATAAATAAAATCTTTAAAAAAAAAAAACCCCAATGAATCCAGAATGTCCTTACCTAGAAAGTTCATCTAAATTAACATTAAAAATATTCATATCCAACAGAGTAACTGGTCAGAGAATAAAAACACACAATTCTAAAAAGATGCAAGAATTATGACTATTACATGCAAACCTGAAAAATATATTACTATAATTAGGAAATAACAAGCTGAAATGGCACTTTAATCCACCAAATTAGCAAAGATAGAAACATTATATCTGTGTGTGTATGTAAATACATAACAGGAGAGATTTGGGGAAAAAGATAACCCCGCTAAAAGGACTAAATTATTACAACCCTCTGAAAAGCAACTAATGTGAGATTCTTGAAGTGTTTATACCTTTACCTGATAATTCTACTCCAGGGAATTTATCTTGAAGAAATAATCCTAAATACTACAAAAAGTTCTGGGCATAAAACTGTTCACCTGCAGTGCTATTTACAATATAAAAAACTGGCAATAACTTCAATTTAAAAAAATTTCGAAGGAATTAAGCAAAGTATGGCATATTTATTCAATGGAAATTAAGTACACATTTAAATGTGTTAACATTTTAACAGAGACCAGGCTATATAACACAGATAAATGCTTGCATTATGTTAAGTGAAAAAGCCATTAAAATACTTACCATATATATAAGTGTAAGTGTGTCTGTGTGTATATATGTATAATCCACCTCATCCCTCCAAAAAGCCTAAGCATAAAAAAATTCTAGAAAGAAGTATATTAAAATGTTAGGGTTTTATTTGGTGTTGGAGCTGTGAATGACTTTTCTTTCACTACAGTGTTTCTACTATTCTATAATGAGGACACATTGCTTAAATAATGGTAGGGAAATCAGCAGTAAATAATCAAAACAGCAGAGAGGGTAGACAGAGCAGCATCTAGAGGCATTCTAAATTAGCCTGGTTTAAGGCAACACTTACTGTAAACTGTTCAATGTCTCTCTCTAGTCCCACATTTGGCAGATCAGGCATCATATGAGCCACGACTTTGAACCCAGAATCCTTGGCCAGGTGAAATGACTCACATACTGCCTTCACAGTGTGGCCCCTGAGGAAAGAAAATTCACTATTTGTTATACAAATAAATGGGAAGGAAGGTTAACACAAGGAACGGAGGGAAAACAATCTCTGAGACATGTAATGGTAGTTTTTTAATGAAGAATAATATGGTTGGGGAATAAAAATCTCAGAAAATCATTTTTATATCTCTAGCTCTGAGAAGGCCTGGAAATAAATCATTTCACTTCTGAGATATTTCTCAGAAATTCCCCATGTACTTACTCAAGGTTGTGACAGTAAATGACTGGGTTAACCAGAGTTACTGTATACTAAAATTATTGGGACTACAAAAAAAAATTATTTGGTTTAACATCATCAGCTGAAGTAAGCTTACTGATGTAAATACTTAAGTTAAAAACAGAAATAATGAACTCAAAACCATGCAGAAGCAGCCTCTTGTTATGCTCTTTCCTTTAAAAACCTTTTGAAATTATTTGGAGAGAGACAGAGATGAAGAATATCACCTACATACAAAATAGATTTCATTCTGGTGGTCTCCAAGGTCCTTAAAAAAGTGAGAAGAGTGAATGATTTAGTGACAAGGCAGAATCATCTGGGGCCAGCTGGGTAAATCATCTTACCATTCTAGTACCCCATCCAAGTTGAAAGCAAGCCCTAATAACAGTTTGGGGCTACTATAAACTGAAGCCCTAAGCCAATCCTTTCACCTCCAAGACATTCCCATTCAACACACACACACACACACACACACACACACACACACACACACAATCCTAGAAACAATGGACTCCATCCTACTCTGGATGTTACCATCCATTTCCATTAAACCATTTCCAATCTCTTTTTGCTAACCACTTCCCAATTTATATGACTACGCAAGGCCTCTCTCCTGATACCCCATGCAAATATCCAGTACTCTAAAGTTCTACTGTATAATACCATGGTCCCTAGGTACATGTAATTACTCAGTTTATACTTAATTAAAATGAAAAATTCAGTTCCTCAGTTGCACTATCATATTGAACAGTGCAGGTGTAGAACACTTCAATCACTGTAGAATGTTCTGCTGAACAGCTCTGCTCTAAAGCAAACCCTCAACTGGTTGTTCTACAAGTATCTAGAATTCAGTACATGCAAAACTGAAATTCACCTTCCCTCCAAGACTCCTCTACTTCCCATTCTCTCCTAACCCCATTTCCATTCAGTCACTAAACACTGTCATTCACTTCTTTTCAAGACATCATTTCTTGTTTAAATGAGTGCAAGAGCCTCTTAACTGGTCTTCCTTCTAGCATGCTCTTCTTAATCCACCTCCATACTGTGATCCTTCCAAAGGGATCTAAAATGCAGATATGCTCAAGTTAGCACAGAGCCTGTCCTCAGATTAAAGCTGAAACTCCCTGGGCTGGCTTCTAAGTTTCCTCATCATCTGGCCAGCATGGCTTACTTCTTCAGCCTCACCTCTTACCACTCTCCTACCTCATGCTCTACACTCTTAAAACCAAGCTAACCTGCTCCAAATCCCCTAAATATACCATGTGCGCCCATCCTCAGGACTTTGCTTGTATGTTTCTTTCTGTCTGAAATAATCTTTCTCTTCCCCACCTGAGTCATACTCTTCCTGTAAGTCTCAAGTCTGATGTCATTCTTTTCAGAAGGCTTTCGTGACATTCAAGAGACTCTTCCCATCTCCACACGTACAACCCTTGATCACTGTAGCAGGCCAACCAGTGCTTCTGGTTTAAGACTCTCCCCTACAAGAGTGCATTCTACTCAGGTTAATCTTTCTTAATCCTGATTTCTGTGTAATTCTTCCCTGTGCTCAAAAGTATCCAAAAGACCTCTAGTACCTAAAGGAAAGATTCCTCTCTCCTTAGCCTGGCATTCTTCTGGTGGTTTCTAAGATGCTGACCAGTGTATGTTTCCCAAGTTCCCTTTTACTTCCTTCTCCTACCACAACCCCCAATTATGTCTGCCCCTTCTGGTAAAGCAGCCTTTAAAGTCCAACTGAACACACAGCAACTTCCTGAAGCCTGCCTTTACATACACAATCAATGATCTCTGCTGCCTAATAAACTCCTGAAATCTTTTGTTTTTCTCTAATTTACCAATTAATCATGAAGTTCCTTATACAGCTAATCTTTAATGTGTATCTTTTCTTGTCAATTCAGTGATCTATTTCTAGAGTTCTACAAGAGAACTTCATATGGCTCTGTCAACTTTATTTCCATCCTTTCTTACCCTCCCAAATTTCTCAGTTTATATCCATTACTCCCCAACCCTTCTTTCACTACTCTGCTTATTGGCATCCGCTTCACAAAAACTAATCTTTTAAATATCACCCTGATGTCCTTCTTGTTCAAACCCTTCTCTTTGTTTCCATGCTCCTGGCCTTCTCTCCTGCTGTAGATGACTGATCTTGAGCCCTGCCTTCTGCTTTCCAGATGGGAAAGACTGTTTATGACAAGAACAGGAAGAGAGAAGAGCACGTTTACAGGCTGCTGGAAAAGAGCCAGTAAAGACTAGAAATAAGGAAAGGGGATGGAAATTAAGAGCAGAGATAGAAGGCTGACTCTGAAAAGAAGGAATCCCTATGTATCTTTCTCTAAGACTGGTAGGAAGGAGAAGAAGATGAGCATGAACACAGATAGAATCAGTGGGAGTTAGAAGGATCTTGTGTGAAATCATTTGCCAACTTACCTGTTGGTATCTCTGGCCACATCTTCGTAGACGCTCTGCACCCCAATCTCCAGCCTTGTGCAGCCATAGGTCAACATGTCACTTAAATGCCGCTTCATACAATAATCTGGTCTGGTCTCAATAGTAATTCCGATACACTTTGTGAGGCTTCTCTCAGAATACCTGCCAAGCAAATCTAAAAGTAAACAACCTACCACAGCTTTAGGACATTTGCTCCCATTTAAAGGACCGTCTTCTCTTAGTCCTATAAGACAGTGGTTAAGAGAGTGGCCTCTGAACCCAGACTGTCTGCGTTCAAATCCTGGCTCTGCTACTTCCTAACTATGCAAACAGGAATGTTATTAACCTCTCTGTGCTTCGGTTTCATTATCTGCAAAATGAGGCTAATAGGAGTCATACCTCATAGGACTGACATGAGTGAACCAGCACACAGTACTGTTACCATTATCATTCTTACCCTCCTACAGTACGCTGCAAACCATAATCTCCTTGAAAGCAGTGATTTCAACTGTGGAACCCTAGCAACCACTTTTCATATAAGTGAAAACTATCTGCCTTATTTATTTCCCACTCCATATTTTATGTCATGTTAAATATAAGAAAAAAAAAAGAAGGGGAGGGTAGGTATGTATAATGATCATAGGAATAATTTAGATAAAATGTTTCCTATATACACACAAGTCATTCTGCCAAGCCTATTAATTTTAGCAATGATTTATAAAATTAGGCATCATTCTTCTCTTTCACTAACACCAGGTATCAAAGTACTGAGTAACACTTTAGATTCAAGCTGCTTGACTTAATGGTTTTATTGCTGGCCAAGAATCCAAAGAAGTAAAAATGACTTGTGGAGGGGGCTGCTGATGTGAGGGGGGACCTAACATTTATGCAGGCCACTGTGCCAAGCGCTATGTGAGACACTCTGTACATATGGAATGCTCCATCAGCTCTATGAAGTGTGTCTTATTTTCATTTCACAGATGAAGAAACAGAGGTTCAAAGAGATGAAGTACATTGTCCAAGGACACAGAGCTCATAACATCCAAGTCAGGATTTGAAATTGGGCCCACCTGACTTCCAAATCCTTGTTCTACACTTCACTTTATAGCACTGCTTAGACAATTCAGCAAGGAACATCAGATTTCTCTTTTCAACTTCTCTAACGTTCTAGAACCCAGTGATTCTTTTTGGTGCACGCTTCTACAACTTTCTCAATTCCCTGGGAGGGTGAGGGAAACCTCTTTTTTTTTTCTTTCCCCCGTTTAATTTTAATTTCCTTCCTTTCAAAGTTCTTTCTTGAAGTACAAAAATCATAAAATTTCCAAAATTTTGTAACTACTCCTTTAGGTTCACTTCATTAACTGTCAATAAAAGCTGACTTATTTAATGTTAATTAACAGTTATAAACGAAGTTAAGAATCACTGAACTGGAGGACTGATTCTGAAATTTTCCCTTCTCGACATTCAAACTCTTTTGCACTGTTTATTACTGTATTCCATAAGGTTTTATACAGGATTACCAGAGGCAACAGAACTAAAAAGTAAATAAGTAGTCCAAAGTTACTCAAGTTAATCATGAGAGAGAAAAAGGGCTCAGATTTTATCAAATCTTGCCTAAGACAGGATACTAAATCATTAGGCTTTTTTGAAGTAAATCAGAAAGTCACATACCTCTCAAATAGGTGGGTACCAAGACCTGCAGTAACAGAAGTACCTAATGCCATGGCTAAATATAATTTTCTTCGAGTATCAATTACTGTGTTTGGGTAAAACCATATTTAAAAAATTAAAATACTATATTATGGAGAAAGGAAATCACATGAAGACTGATTTTAAAAAAAGGAAAGCAAGAAACTCTAAATTAGTGTATTTAAGAAAGTAAATAAGAACATATTAGAATCAAGCATTCCAAAATTGTTATCACAAATCTCCCTATTAACTGCCTGTTTCATAAAGCCTCTAGTATTTCTTAAAAGAAAGTTCAGCATCACAACAGTACCCTGCATCACTGGGAAAAAAACAGAGGACGTGCAACTGTGCAAGTGGGAATCTGTCTAGAGGAAAGAGGAAATCACCTGCTAATCTTTCTATTGCCCAGATCATGAAAGGCATGCAGACAGAGAGGAAGCTGCTGCAAGGACTATGAGGTCTCTTCCTAAGTAGTTGGAATATAGTATAAGGACAGAGACAAGCCTTATTCTCAAATAATAATTTAACTCCATTTCAAAAATGTCTTTCCTCTTAAGGGAAATGTCATTATCTTTTGCAGGAGAAGAAATGGAAAAATGAAAGAAATTAAGTTTTTAAAAGCTAACATTTTATATTTACAAAAAGCTTTTACCACTGTCTTCTTTTCAGAATTGTATTTTCATTTGAAAGGCAATTAAGCAAAAACTCTTAATTTGAATGACAAAAACAATGGGGTATTTTCCTAAAGAACAGAGTTTAAGGTCATTTTTCCTATAGGATCACTCTATTTTTATTAGGATTTTTGTTAATGCTACATTTAGTCCTACAATCACTGAACCTACCTCTTCATTTGACAGAGGTGTAAAGATATTAATGATTGTTATTTAATATGCAAATATTTGCATTAAGGCTTTCAACTAGTCTAAGCAAATTACAGCTTTTGGGGCGATTTCCAGGGCCTGCCATAACCCTCCATATCATTTTAGGTAGCCATCCAACAGTGTGCCTCTCCTCAGTACCTAGTTCAACTCCCATACCTTCTGGGGGGCCGCAGAATTCTTAAGTTCTTGGGCACCTAGGAAATGCGCTACACATTTTCCAACTCTGATCATAAACTTCTAAGAGACCAAGTCAGAGACCAAATTTTTTTTTTCTTTCCTCTGTTTAATTTCCTTCCTTTCAAAGAAGTTCAGAGTTCTTTCTTGAAGTACAAAAACCATAAAATTTTTGCACCCAGGTCTTCTAATTCCAATTCCACTGCTCTTTTTGTGATATTACAGGGTCATCTTAAATAAGTCTGGACCCTACCTGTATAGGGCTATGTGGAATCCTACACTTTTTTGTATGCCACAGTAGTAGCACCAACTATAAAAGATGCTAATATGCTCTGCAAAGCCAAATATAACTTAAGCTAATAACTTATGATGACAGCATTTTTTTTTTTTAACAAGGTTGGGGGTGGGGTGGGACAATACCTTCAAAGTTTGAACGTACACAAAAACTAAATGCTACCCAGTCTTCAAAACATAGCTCAAATACATTTCTCCTCTCACATCTTCCCAGAGCCTCTCTTTACTTTGTGCTACCATTCCCAAAGCCACCTTGCCCATAATATGAATATAGTTTGCCCTGTTATTTGTGGATATTTGTCTGTGCAGCTAGACAGGAGGCTCCTTGAAGGCAGTATGCTCAAGTATGTTTAGAGGTAACTGCTTAAGGGTTTCAGCATTAAAAACTCTCCTTTAGTGTAAAAAAAAAAAAATACAAAGAACGAATAAATGAAACAGGCGTAACTGAAGACACAGGTCTCTCTTTACTCCCATAGCAGCCTCTAGCTAATTCTGCTGGTTATCTTTCCTCTTGCAAAGAATCAACCCTAGAGGGTGCCTTGCACTAGACCAGGTATTCTATAGAAAGGAGTAATACACTAGCTTTTGTCCCAGAGATGCTTAACAATCTAGCTGTAAGAAAAAAGACACAGATGAAATCAAGAAGGATTTAAGAGCAAAGAGCTAGAAGGGGCAGAAATATAAACATATATTATTTCTTGGTTCTATTTATAGAAGGAAAAAGTAAACTATAAAAGTGATATCTATTATTACTAACTCCTTGCCTGAAGGGCCCCAACAAAGGGGACACCGAAGGAAGACAGCAAACCAATGTTAAAGTCTCTCTATTATCTTCTGGAAACTGTTTACATGATTCACTCCAGGAAGGCTATGGCATCAAAGAACACTTCTCATTGCTATCAATTTGCTACAGTCCTCTTTTAAAACCTCTGTCATTAATAAAGTCAGATGTGTCTTAGTCTACTCCTGCATGCAATCTCACTAGAGCTCTAGGCCCAAATTCCTGAAAACCTTAGAGAACCTTCCTACATGGACCTCAACCTGCTCAAACCAAATGGCAAAATAAATAAAAATGGTATATAGATGAAATGTTAATTTTCATTAGTCATAATATAAAACTCTTCTCCATATCTACAATCCCAAAATTGCTAAGTAGAATTTACAAAATTCTTGGACAACCAAAGATCTGTTTGAATTGCCAAATAACATCTGGGATTACTGATGCAATTCCTCAATAGTAGCACCACAGAACAAGTTCTTTTTCTTTTTTATTATAATCATATCTGGAAAATATCTCAATAAAATTTTATGCTCTGTACAATGCTGTGCTGGTGATATTCTAGACTTAAGAATGACTGAGTTGGGTGTTGGGTGATTTAAAAATAACAATTTTTTTCCTTTTCCCTTTATTTTTTGAGACAGTGGTCAAGTTTGCTTCCTGGATATTGGCTGTTATTGTCAAGGGGGTCTATAAAACAATAAGGTTCTGCCCAACACAAACTAAGGAAACAGAAAGAAACAGAATCCTGATTTTTAAATGAGCACAACCTATGAAAAACTAACCTGGTGACCTTGTAATTTAGAGACAAATCAGGGACCTATCATGCTAGTTGACAAGGTGTAAGATACATATAGGAAAAACAACCCATAACATTTTGGGTTTTAATCCTTTCAACAGCTGACAAGAATGCTATCAGACAGCTGAAGAACCAACAGCAATGCATTATTAATAGAAAAGAAAAAAAAATCAGTTATTATACATTCTTTTAATATTACACACACATTCAAATTTAAGGACTATATATAAGGACCATAAATGCATTACAGAAAAGTTGTCATTGTCAGAAAGTGACTGCTAGATGAAAAATAACTTCCAAATACATCTTTTAGATAAACATTCTCATTCCAATAGAAATCTTCAAACTACAGAATGTCAGAGAAAGAAGTAATTTCAGAGATAATCTAGTCCCACCTCATTTTTATAGATGAGGAAAATAAAGCAGAGAACACACAAGTGGCTTAAATCAGGTAATAATGCAAGATAATCACAGACATAAGTGTGGAATCTAAGTCTCCTGATTCTTCACGCACAGTTCTTTCCACTGGGTTCATTTAATAACGTTT